GGGTTGAATTGAACCAAGTTCAATTCACCCCATTCGGAGACTCGCCCCAGAGAGTTCTCCACTTCAGACACAAGTTTTGATCGTCTCTCTTGCACCACGCTCCGAGAGAGACTCTGATGGCCGATATATCGCGCATCCCCCGTGCTGTCATCTGCATAGCAATGCATGCCATCAATAGACAGCATGTCATTGATATACAGGATGAAAAGCGTGGGGGAGAGCACCGAACCTTGTGGAACGCCAGCGTTAATGGTCATGGTATCAGAACAGTCACCGTCTACAACGACCGTGATGCTCCGCCCATCCAAAAAGCTAGCGATCCACTTGCAGAGACCCTCGGGGATTCCGTAAGATGGTAACTTCGATAGAAGTGCCCTATGCCAGACCCTGTCGAAGGCCTTCGCGATATCAAGGCTCACAGCAAATTCGCCTTAACAGCTTAGGAAAAAATATATATATTGAGAAACTCCAAGATTCGTCGGTGAACAAGTAACACTAACGTCGTATAGATAAGAGACATTAAATATGAAACTTTGGATTGTGTTGATTAGACGCTGTGTGAGTTGAAAGAGAGTTTGGTCTCTGGCGAGTTCGGGTGCGACACCTACCTCCTGTTTCGCCCGCTGGAGATCCCTCTGCAGCTGAGCTTGAGACTCCATGATCTTGGTCTTGAACTCGTTCGCCTGCTCCAGCTGCAGCCTCAGACGCTCCAGCTCGCGCAGCTTCTCCCGATCTTCGGCGCGTCGAACCTTGACGGTCTCCAGTTTCTCTTTCAGGTCTTCGACTTCGGATTTCAGTTGGGTTATCTGTAATTTGAGTGAAGCGTTTTTTTTTAATTTTTGAAGTGAAACTTCTATATCGACGTAGGGAGGAAAAAACGTATGTAACGTTTTTCGGTTACGCGCCATCTTAATTTCTTCCGTTATGCGCGATGTTTATTTTATTTCTACTTAGTTTGTTATAAACAGATGTCGCTGCACGTAAAGTCAACAATTCCTGAATCGCGGTGACGAGTTGTTACACAGTTGATAGACGTTCTCGTATTTCTCTTGCTAAATCATACCTACCTGGCGTCGGGATACCGTGATCATGCAGACGGTTCCCTCGGGATGCAGCTGCTCCATTGCACTGCGGAGTGGTTGACCCTTGCGATTATTTTTATATTTTATAACTTCTACCGTGTGTGACTTGCACACACACACATTTTTATTTTTATTGCGTAGATGTATGGACGAACTCACAGCCTACCTAGTGTTAAGTGGTTATCGGAGCCCATAGACATCACACAATTTAACCCACCTTGAGATATAAGTTCTAAGGTCTCAGTATAGTTACAACAGCTGTCCTGCCCTTTAAACCGAAACGTAAGTAAGAAGTAAACGTAAAGAAACCATAAGTAGGCAGGGCAGTGGTACCTACTCGTGCGGACTCACAAGACGTCCTACCACCGGTAAGCTTTACTACCACTTTGTTGCTGTACATGTACTTTATTCTTAGCGGTGGAGATTGTGTATCATCGAAGTTTTTTTTCAATTTAATTAAGCATTGTACTAATCGGGTCTTGTCTTTTGATTTAGCGCTAAGCTTCCATTATCTTGGAGGCATAAGGTTGACTGACCCGATGGTGCTGTAAGTAGCGTCCCTGATTGTTGCGCCGAGGGCCGTGAGTTCGATTCCAACATCAGGCAAAGATTTGTGTGATTAACAGTTTTGTTTGCTTTTCTTTTGTGTGGGTGTTTATTTACTATAAACTTTTTATCAGTCTCTGGTACCTTATGGGTACAGAGAATCCTAAATTAGGGCCGGATGACCGTGCGTGATTTGTTCCCAGTTATTATTTTTAACATAAGGTCGCTGTTCCAATCCCATTTCAATACCCAGATTCCTTCGAACCGTAAAGCCTGTCATTTGGCCGAAATAAACAGAATATTTTGGCTTGTTGTTTTGGTGGTCAATTCCCATTAAAATCTTCATATACCTGCGTCTAATTACACATAAGAGGGATCCAATTTCGGGGCAGTTTTTTTCAAGTCTTAGATGGTTGGACGAACCCAAGGTCCACCTGATATTACCCGCTTACCGAAGCTCTTGGATGTCAACTAATTAAATGCCGCCACACATGTTGAGACCTAGGTACTAAGGTCTCAGGTTTAAGAGTATATAGGGACCACAAATGTCTCCATAGCCACTAATAATTATATGTATGTGTTAGCGGTAATTATATTGCAATGATGGTACGTCAGTCTAGGGATTGTCTGGCTGTCGATAGCACGTTAGGTTGTAATCCCAATACACGTTAGTCACTTAACTGAACACGTGTCTAATTAACCCTTGCCCGATATCGAGACTCAACACTGGTGACCAAGACGTGACCCCGAATGATGTAGGGACATTTGAGGTCCCTACAAGTACACTGGCTGCTCCACTCTTCAGACTGGAACGCATTATTGCTTCTCACTCTCGTTTGTCGTATCACTCTTGTCAGTGCAGTCATCAGTATCATTGCTGTCAAGTCAAGTCGGCAGTTGGCGGTTGTTTGCATGAGTGTACCAGGTTTTTCTTTCATTGCTTAGATAGGTGGACGAGCTCACAGCCCAACTGGTGGCAGGTGGTAGGCAAGGCTTTGGTACCTATCCACGCGGACTCAAAAGAGGTCCTAGCACCAGTAAAATCACCACTGCTTCTCACTACGAAATAAAGAAAACCACAGTACAGCTTACCTCTTGCTGGGCCTGAAGGTTGGCCAACTTATCTTCCACGGACGAAGGAACGGGCTGTGGGGACGTTATGCTCTGACCTGGTGTGTACTGAGGAGTCAGGGTCTCGACGAAACCAGTCTGAAAATTAAATTTTCAAATTCAAATTCACTCTTCTCTGAAGTTTACAAGCAACTTGAGCGTACCAGAAACCAGTTGGAGGTGAGCCTCCCCCGATTTTGCTACTTGAGTTAAAGTGGTTATATGATAGTGGATGACCTTGGAACATCATCAGGTCCAAGTTATTGTGCACAGGCTGTCCTGACATACAAACCAGAACTTTATGAAGAGGAGACTGTGAAGATAATGAATCTGCTATGAATGGAGTGCCAAGTGATCACGGGCACGATTTTTAATATCCATTTTTAAATAGGCAAAGGTGTAAAAATTATCAATTAAGAATTTAATTCAAGCCTTTTTTCATAAAAAACCATTTGCCCTTTGTGTGTGGAAAGATATAGTTCTTGATTTGGCAAAATTTTGGTAATAACATGAATCTAAGTCTTCATGTACCAGGAATTAAGGTTGAATTTCGTTCGCTGGTTAGTTATACCTTCATCACTGAAGTTACAGGTGAACGTTTCATGTCAGTTTTCTCTGACAACTTTGTCAACTGCTACAAGTTCTGGACCATTGACAAGGGGGGGGACAAATAGTGACAAATGCCTTATCGGGTATACCTCGACAAAAGACGCTCTTTTCGCCTCAGGCGAAGATGCCCTTTCGGTTGTTGGCGAAGCGTATGACGTCAACGATTGCCGACTGCTCGCCAGCGAGGTGCGAGAACTGAAACACCGAAGAATCATTCAACATACGCGAAACTTGATGCGGCAGAGTGATACGTAGCGATTCTGTGCTCGAAAATTATAAACCGACCCCCATTTTGTATATTATTATCCGTTCAGAATTTCGTAATTGTTTTTCGACGACTACCCTCTCAGAAAACAATGTACGGTTTATGAGGTAGTCGCCATTTCAAATTGAACGTCCAAATGGGAAAGCGAAATAATCCTATGCAACCACCATAAATATACTACCACTGTAACTATACTTGAGACTTTAGAACTTATATCTCAAGGTGGGTGGCGCATTTACGTTGTAGATGTCGATGGGCTCTAGTAACCACTTAACACCAGGTGGGCTGTGAGGTCGTCATCCCATCTAAGCAATAAAAAAAACGACTTAATTAAGTAATAATTAAAATTAATAATTTTAAAAAGTATTTTAAATTGAACGACATTGTCACTAGTTTTTCTCAACTTTTGGTATTTCAACAAATACATGCTTTTTTGTTAATTTTACAGGCAGTTCCTTAGTGTTGTGGTTTCTGATCAAACGCCTTATGACCTGTCTAAAAAGGACTCCAAGTCTTTAGAACTCACTGACCCAATAACATTGTTTGACCAGCGTAAGGCTTTAAGGATTAATTCGGTCAATATCAACGTCCGCCATTAAGCGTTTCTATTTTGTTTCGAATCGCATAAACCGATCTATCACTCTGCCTTCTTACCAGGCTTTTTACAAAGCTTTAAAAGCACCGGACATATTGTCCCGTATAAGGATTTTTTTAAGTCTATGCTAACTACGATTGACGTGCTTTAATTTACACATAAGAAACTTAACACATACCATTAGAACAGTGATATAAAGAACACATACGTCATATTTTACTGGTGGTAGGACCTCTTGTGAGTCCGCACGGGTAGGTACCACCGCCCTGCCTATATATGCCGTGAAGCAGTAAAGCGTTTCGGTTTGAAGGGTGGGGCAGCCGTTGTAACTATACTGAGATCTTAGAACTTAAATCTCAAGGTGTGTGGCGCATTTACGTTGTAGATGTCGATGGGCTCTAGTAACCACTTAACACCAGGTGGGCTGTGAGCTCGTCCACACATCTAGGCAATAAAAAATAAATAAATTTTTTTGTCTTGTATAATTAAGCATTGATTCCGGTTTGAAGGACTGAATAAGTCGAGCTTTTGATCCGGGATGAGGTGAATAACCACCTTAATCTAATTCTTCTACAGTTTTCGGGCACAAAAGCAATATCACTTACTCTCGAATTACATTTAAAGATTTTTCATGATTAATATCAACAGATCCAATGAACCGGTTATAAGAAACGATAAAGATTCTGGTAGTTACGATAATTTTCACCGCTGTAAAGGGCGATTCACATTTTCTAGACAAGCATATTAATTACGAAGAGGCTCTATTTCAAATACAGTGAAATCTGACATCTATGACTATATGTTTCACATGAAGCAAAATGCAAAAAGAACAGTTTATAGGCCCAGACTCTGGGCAGCCGATACTATGGCCAAGTTAAAGAGGAGAGTCACTTAAAAAACCTTCCCATGACAATACTATAATTTCATTACTTTGGTCTGTTACCTCAATCAATGTTACCAGGATAAAAACTGATAATTTTACTCTATATGTTCAATTAACCATTGTGTTTCTAGTGAAGGCAAACAAGACGTCACAAGACGCCATATATGACTAAACGTTGTGTATAATTATACTATCTATTGATAATACATGCCGTTTAACCAGATATAAGTAATATGTTAGCTCGTCGTTAATTTTCGTGTCCCAAATGACGTCACACGTGGTTAAGTTACGTTATACCGAATTTCGTAAAAGCTACTGTGTCGCTCCTTAACATGCCATAGTACGTTTAAAAGTACGAATCCCTTACATTAAACCAAGATTCATTGCAAATTAGAACAGAAGCGGAAAAGAAGGAATGAATTGTGCATACAAACCGTAGTGATTCTTAAGACAAAACAACTAGGGTGATTTTACATGATTTTTGGGGTCATAGAAGAAGTTACATAATATGGCCAGCTCATTTAGCACTTGTTTGGCATAATTGGGCTTACTCACCCCCATTAGTAAAATCACGCTAATTGCTTTTATAAGACATTTAAAATTAGACGCTTAGGATAAGGCACGGGATAGAGAAGATATATGCGTGAATCGTGTGCACCGAACAAATTACCGTGCATTACTTTCGCAGTTCAAACACGATTACCATACGTTCAACTTACCGACATCTTGGCGCGTACCAAAAATTATACCGTACTTCCTTATCGCTCTAAAATTTTGAAACGGACCCATTTGAAAATCAACCTTAAAACATGGTGGTAGGGCGTCTTATGAGCTCGCACGGGTGCTATGTTCCACTACCGTGCCCAAATCTACATGCGTTTTGGTTTAAAGCGCAGCAAAAGCCGTTACTCTGTACGATTGAATTTCCAAATTGGGTGAAATAACTCCCTTTTATCACCCTACAAGGACTGCAGTAGCAATTCCAGATTAAATGATATTAATTTGAACCCTTCCAAGAGCAGTTTCGTATCCAAAGTCAACGTTCTCGACCGGACATCATCGGGCTGTGAATCGCGAAGATTTTATTACGACGGTTATGAGCAATGGTCGGAGTAGGTAGATTGATTTTATATACTTGCGTCAAGATATTATAATATGGACATGCCATTTTATCATTTAATGATTATTTTTTTAAATTGAAAAAAATCTATTTTTAATCCTCATCGGATACAGTTTCTATATTTATGAGATAAACTAACAAAAAGCCCTGTCTAAGTTTTGTCTCATACTGACAAGCGTCATTTCTAATTCAACCATATACATAACCGACGTATACAATTGTATCATGACTCGAACGATCCGACAGCTCGAATGAGAATGAACACTGCACGGCTACCAGTCATATATATAACGGTAGCAGTTGTTTTTTTCAACTACCTCACATTCACAACGAATATAGAAGAGGTTCAACGGAAAGCAAAGCCGCGCGTGGCCATACTGTCACCAATAATAAAAAAAATACGGGATCATTCCGGTGTATATATATTTTTTTATGAATGAGAGATTACTGGTGGCCCAGAGGCCTTTCCAGTTTCATCAGGACAGGTGGGCGAGCAAAAGCTCAGCCAGGAGGGGTGGGATATTGCTAACAGCCGCCCGAGCGCCTCTAAAGGAGACCTGACAACTCAAGAGCAACTGCTCCGCGAATGATTGCGTTGCTTGAATACACAATACTACTCGTGAAAGAGTTCACTTTACATTGAATTTTGTCAGAATTACCCTCACCTCGGACGTGTTTTTAAAATTCATTAAAAAACATCGAACATATGAAGGCGTATTAATAACAGCAAAATAGACAATTATAAAGTATATTACATAAACCACTAGACATCGTTAATAGGCAATCCAACCATGTGTCAACTACAGTGTGTTCGATTTATAAACTTTTGCTTTTTCAAAGTACCCTCTCTTTCAATATAGCTTTTTGTACCTCTTAGGAGAAGGCTGCTTCGAAAATCTCTACAAACCTCGTGCATCGGCAGATCTCATCAAAAGTTCATAAATCTACACGTGTAACAATCTAAAAGAAAAAAAAACTACACGTGCCATATAAAATAATTCATCCCGTGTGCATATTTCGTTCGCATACGTTATTACCTCGACATTGACAAAGATCCCGCCTTCGGCTGCGCGGGTGACGCCTTGCGTCGCACGCTTAATGGAAAACACATCAACATGAAGTTAGTCAGTTACGTGTAGGTATACCGTTGTGAAGATAGCGGTTAATATGATTCGTTTTTTTTTTTAAATCAAAGGGATGTTCGATCCTTTCGGAAATCCGTTTGTTTGTTGAAAGGGTCAATGTTTAGAAGGAGGGTTAATGTTTACTGTTTAATCGTTATTATTTAATAATATTTAATTAAAAACATCTTAAACAGAGAACAATTCAAATATAATTTATATTCATAAAACACTGACAGAAGGTTTGAATAAAGAAAAATCAATCAGCGGACTAAAGATCCTTTTAAACGTTATTCGTAGTTCTTTCTGCGAGCTTTGATTACAAAACTACTTTGTAATTAATTAGAGGCACGGCAAATACTTTATCTTTGAAAAACCGTTTAGTTATATTGTTGTTGTTGTCAAAACGTTCATTAATCGTATGATCGTTGGTCACTGGACCGATTCTAGTGGTAATTATGGCCACAAAGCATTCTCTGCCATCAATGAGATAACAACTGAACTGTATTTTATATATATATACTGTAGAAAACAACACCCTTTGATTTAAAAAAAAAACCAACGAACATTTCATCGTAACATTTCTTTAACGTAATAATTATTGACATGACAATGTTTTTATTTATTACTGATTATTATTACAACGTAGTATTTCTATGATCAAAATGCCATGAAGGGACTGTGATGAATCGGTCACGAGTTTCGTATAAAATTATGACTGCAAACAAAAAGCCGATCGAGTTTGCTGCGCCAGTCTAAAAGAGGTGGTAAGACCTCTTGTGAGTCCGCGCGGGTCGGTACCACCACCCTGCCTATTTCGCCGTGAAGCAGTAATGCGTTTCGGTTTAAAGGGTGGGACAGCCGTTGTAACTATACTTGAGACCTTAGAGCTTATGTCTCAAAGTGGGTAGCGCATTTACGTTGTAAATGTCTATAGGCTCCAGTAACCACTTATCACCAGGTGGGCTGTGAACTCGTCCATCTATCTAAGCAAATTTTTTTATTATGAATGCGAAAGTCTGTTTCTTTGTTTGTCTGACTTTCACTAATTTCTCATGCACACTGTTAAGGTACACATAAGGATTTTTTAGTATCCGGAAAAATCCTTGAAATTTTTTTTTCTACTTTAACGCGAATGAAGGCCCGGTAAAAAGTTAGTTTGAAATAAAGGATTTTGTGTTTGAATTGAATCGTAATTATTTAATTCGGATTACTATTGCAAATGAAGTTATTCGAATTAGGTAAAAATCTCCCTTTATGTAAGAGTCTCAGAAGCTCTTGCAATTGCAATTTCAGCAACTATTTATGTGTCGGAAATAGAAAGAGTATTGCTTTAGGGAGATTAATTTGCTATCAGTACTAAATTCAATACACAGACAGCCATGATTCCGCAATCCAAGACATCAGTTCCATCTGTTAATATCCTACGAATCCTTTGAGAATGACTTATATGTCAAAACTGAGGGCTTTAAATTAGAAAAGCGCGCATATTACGAAAACTTCACACAGCACTGACGGGCCAACGTCATCAAAACATCACAGTCTCGTTTAGAAAGTGCGTAAGCTCTACAAGCGTGTGCTTTTAACTGTAATCCGGTACTTACGTGGTCGGTCTAGACCTCTGGGCCACTGTTAAACTAGCAGAGAAAGAAAAACCATTGTTGTTGTTTTTTTTTCAATGAACACCGTCACACTATTGATCATGCATAGAGAAGGTGGGTACAGCGGTCTTATTAATTTATCATTATAGTAAAAATTAATAAGATCACATATGACGAGAGATTTATCGAAAACAGTATCGCACCGCTTCATATCTCTATGCAAGAACACATAATTTTAATCGTACACAATCTAAAAATGTTATTACAACTAAGTGACACTTGTAGCTTAAGAGCGAAGCGAAACACGTTATCATTTTCATCCGTGGAAGTTTTGATTTTAGATAAATCAATTTTAAACTATACCCTAGAACGTAATAATAAAGACCAAACATCTCCAACTATACAATCGGACTATAGTTGTGCAGAGTTAAAGCGTTAAGATAATTTTGACAAAGTACAATCCGATTTTAGATTGAGCTGAAAATTTATATTTCGCTTCACACTTAAGCTAATTTATTTAATCATTAATATGAAACACAAAAAAACACAAATCACTCGAATATTTAATTATTATTACTAGCGTTATATTTTAACACCTTAGCAACACTCGTTTGTTTATATGGCAACACAAACACACATTAATATTTTTATTATTTAAGAGACCTCTATTTTTACTAAATGATCCGCCTTTTTAAATATGGTAAACTAGCAACAATTCTTTTAGCCGCTACTTCTCATCATTATGCAGCTTCTTAAATTGTAAAAATATTTGATATACCTTGTAACTTTACCGCATTTTCGATCTAAATTTGAGTTCGGTGTTGCCACTCTAAAAATAGCATTTGAACAGTTTAACAACTACATCACTGTTTGACTTTGGTTGCTCGGATTTTTCTCGAGTTTACTTGATTTATATTCATAGTTAGTAATATTACGAATTTAACCCTTTATCGCATAGTACGTGAAACCCAAAACGCATGCCACTAAAACCCAATTAAAAATTCTAACTTAATGTTGAATAATATATCTAAATAATAATCTAGATTTGATCACACATATTAATGGGAATTGCGCCTTCTGGTGAAGCGAATCACCACCCGAAGTGATGACCACGACCACTCTGCCAATAGCGCATACGATTGAGAAGAAGAATTAATGGGAAACCGGCAATTTATACTTTAATAAATAATCTTTTGAAACTCATTAGTCGTGTTGAAACAAAGCGTAATGATAATTTGTTAAAACGCTTTTATTAGGTCGACCTGCGTCTATCTATATAACGAAATATTTCAATTAACTTAATAGCAACATAATACTATTTACAATACCTGCTCATACACTTGGAGACGGTAACAGAAGCGTGAAGAACAAGAACTCATAGAGTTAAACCCCTTTGTTGCGTTGAAACAGAGCGGATTGAGGATTTGTTAAAACGCTTTTATTAGGTCGACCTCTTCTATCTATATAACGAAATATTTCAATTAACTTAATAGCAACATAATACTATTTACAATACCTGCTCATAAACTTGGGGGCGGTAATAGAAGCGTGAAGAACAAGAACTCATAGAGTTAAACCCCTTTGTTGCGTTGAAACAGAGCGGATTGAGGATTTGTTAAAACGCTTTTATTGGGTCGACCTCTTCTATCTATATAACGAAATATTTCAATTAACTTAATAGCAACATAATACTATTTACAATACCTGCTCATAAACTTGGGGCGGTAATAGAATCGCGAAGAACAAGAACTCATAGAGTTAAACCCCTTTGTTGCGTTGAAACAGAGCGGATTGAGGATTTGTTAAAACGCTTTTATTGGGTCGACCTCTTCTATCTATATAACGAAATATTTCAATTAACTTAATAGCAACATAATACTATTTACAATACCTGCTCATAAACTTGGGGGCGGTAATAGAAGCGTGAACAACAAGAACTCATAGAGTTAAACCCCTTTGTTGCGTTGAAACAGAGCGGATTGAGGATTTGTTAAAACGCTTTTATTGGGTCGACCTCTTCTATCTATATAACGAAATATTTCAATTAACTTAACAGCACATAATACTATTTACAATACCTGCTCATAAACCTGGAGGCGGTAATAGAATCTTCAAGAACAAGAACTCATTGACTTGAAACTCTTTAGTCGCGTTGAAACAAAGCGCATTGATAATTTGTTAAAACGCTTTTATTAGGTCGACCTCTTCTATCTATATAACGAAATATTTCAATTAACTTAATAGCAACATAATACTATTTACAATACCTAGTCATAAACTTGGGGACGGTAATAGAAGCGTGAAGACAAGAACTCATAGAGTTAAACCCCTTTGTTGCGTTGAAACAGAGCGAATTGAGGATTTGTTAAAACGCTTTTATTGTGTCGACCTGCTTCTATCTATGTAACGAAATCTTTCAACGCAAATGAATAGCAACGTGATACTATATCCAGTCCTTGCTCATAAACCTGGGGGGTAATAGAATCTTCAAGAACAAGAACTCATAGAGTTGAAACTCATTAGTCGCGTTGAAATAGCACGCATTGACAATTTGTTAAAACGCTTTTATCAGGTCGACCTGTATCGATCTTGCGGAATTTCTCAACGCTATCATACTTCAAGAGATCCGATTAACTTGAATATTTGCACACGTATCAAAGATCGATGACAAAACATTAACTACAGTTCTTTATGGACGACCGGGGTGTGGTTTGACGATATCACCATCTTTTGTTTTTTTCTCAAAGAATTTAGGTCCTAATATGAACTCTGTCTTAAATGTCTATACAATTACCATACCTAAAATTGTTGCATATACAATGAATGTATCTACTATAGAGTACAACATTTTCAAGTTTCTAATTTTGAGAAGGAATTTTCACCAAGTATTAAGAAGAGTTTTGATGCCGAAAACTGGGCAAAGTGGAACAATTTAATTAGGAAAGCGGACTCTGGCTCTAAACCGGAAAACGTTAAAAAGAAGAAGAAAATTAAGGAATTTTAATGGTCATTATCTACAACGTTATTGCAGACTCTACGTAGAAGAGGAAATGCCACGACCGGAACTTATGGCAGGATTTGGGGGAGGCCTATGCGAAAGCAAAACAATCTTAGCCGATGTCAAATGGAAAGAAAAAAAAAAGAATAGTATGTACCTAAATATGAATTAAGGTTGTTAATAAAGGCTTCTTTATCTTTATCTTTATCTACAACATTTGGCTCTAGTGTGATCAAAGTTTTATTATTATTTAGATACATTATTTAGATTCACCAACGTTTAACTTATCGAAACCATGAATGAAAGATTGAACTCAGAGTTCATGTTAATCTAGAAACAAAAATACCCTACAATATTTAATACCTTATCCGTCGCTTCTTGATAAATTTAGACACATAACTATTGGTCGGTTTTGTGAATAGTTTATTTGCTGAAGATTGATATAATTGAGAAATAAATCAGTATGTCAAGTTTAAACAACTGATAAAAATAAGTTTAAATTATTGGCTAAATTATACATTAGATCGATCGCGAAGGAACATTAAATCAAAAAATATATCGGAATTAATTCCAAATCGAAATGTGGCTTTAATATCGAGATATACATATATTTTATATAATGCTGTTGTCTATTCTAACCACCCTCCCTTTCCATTCTGATGTTGTGGAGGCGCTTATGCGTTTATTGCCTTATTACTTAGTTATCTAGTTTATTAGTCATCTATTAAACTATTTTTATTAACAGAACTTTCGAAAATGTCTATAGTCTGTCAAACGTAGCTTGATACGCGGAACTTTTTGGCGAGTGACTTAATAAGCTATTTGTTTTACATTAATCGAATATCTTAGAACAGAACTTAAGTTTTTAAATATAATTTTACCTAAAATCCCATATATGTTTAACTAACTATTACATTGTTGTCAAAATTTATCAAGTAAACAGACGTAGGACTAATTACTAATGAAATAGAATTTGACATATTAAATCTATCTCACCTAAAGTGATCCCTAAAATGACACCCATTTCCGTGCTCCATTATAATTTATATGCTTTTAATTAATCCGCAAACATTCTACGGATAAATCCAAATTGGTAATACCACAAAAATAGCACAAAGCAAAATGTTGACTATATTAACTGCGTAAGATCTCACATCTAATGTCTGTATCAGATTTATTTTTTTCTTTACAGTTTTTTTTTTTATTATCATATTACTTTCCGAATAATATACTAATATGTGACATAATGGTTCGCTCACATATTAGTGATAGATTTTTCAGCTACATTTTGCTTTGCAAATAATGTTTCAAGCTATTACACTAATTCAAATATTAAAATATAATTTTTATTCTATGATTTTCAGTTTATCATTATACTAACATTTATACGGATAATAAAATTTTGTAAACTTTTGAGGTTCGTTTAGTCTTTTATAATATTTAGAACTTAAGTTTACATACCTGCTCAATCTCCTACCAAGAGCGGTCTTGGTGTCCCCAGAGGGGGTAGTGACGGATGTCTCCATCGGATTGTCATCGGCGTCCAGCAGCTGTATTTGGGCAGGACGGACGAAGACACCGAAATTCTCATCGCACTGAAATTATTTGTATGACCATTTTAATTTTTCCACATTAACACGATAAACGTTAATTTGCAATGTGCACCTTCTGTGAAGGGTAGATTTTGATCAACGAATTTCTCTTTCAATATACCTCTTAATAGCAAAAATCAATGAGATAATACCGGAGTGCCCAAATCAAGCTTTGGTTCAATATTAAATGATACTAGATAATGACCGAGCCTTGCTTTTTTTTTTGATAACGCCATCTTGTTGTGTCTTTAAAGCGGTTAGTTGCCCTCAATTAAGAAAAATAGTATTATTATTCGCCAATAGATGTCGGGAAGAGTTGATTATTGAAAACACGAATAAAACAACATTTTCTGAAAATAAATCGTAGCTAGATCGATTTATCGCCCCCCGAAATCCCCAGTATACTAAATTTTATGAAAATCGTTGGAGCCGTTTGCGAGCTTCAGATTATATACATATATATTAATATACAAGAATTGCTCGTTTAAAGGTATAAGATAACACTAAAGGCTTTAATAGAATCTGTCGATAAGCCCAAAGCAATCTTACTTGAAACTATAATTAATCATATTAAAGTATTATCTATATAGACAGAAAACATAAACAAACAGAGGTATTACATGGTGCCTATTAGGTATATTTATTAAATAAATATATTTATCATAATATTCATTTCTATTAATTTTTATTATATTATGTGCTCGTTTCATAAGCATAATTCATATACTGAATACCATCTAATTTCTTTAAATTATTCAACCAATGCACCTACTACACTCTTCTGCATCACCCTTTTGATAACTGGTAGAGAATGTCATAAAAAGTCATTGCGGCCTAAATGATAAGACGTCCGGTGCATTTGTATCTAGCAATGCAACGTTGTTCGAATCCCACAGGCAGGTACCGATTATTCTAATGAAATACATACTTAACAAATGTTCACTATTTACTTCCACTGTGAAAGAATAACATCATATAATAAAATTTAAACCTTTTTTTTTTTTTTTAACGCTGGGGAATCCATTTACGGATACCCGGTCGAATAAAATTTAAACCTGCAACATTATAATTTGCATAATTACTGGTGGTAGGATATCTTGGGAGTACGCACAGGTAGGTACCAACACCCCTCTATTTCTGCTGTGAAGCAGGAATGTATTTCGATTTGAAGGGTGGGAGGTAGGTGAATGGGTGGAAAGAAAGATACTTTATCGCACACCAAAGCACAATTAACTTTGAAAAACAGTCTACAGGCAGATATTATTATACAATAGGTAGTCTAATCTTCAGATTCAAGAGTTTTTTTTTTTTATTCTGTGAAAGTAACAGCTTGTTTGTTGCGGTATATATACCATTATTAACAATATTCGGAGTGGTAAAATCAAATCTACGTAACAGATTAAATTTCTTAACATTACATGTACATTATCAGCAAAAAAATATTTTATACAAATTAAGGTATGGCTATTTTTCAGCTTATACTTAAGGTACAAGACTAGACTGTAATTTTATGTAAATTATGTAATCATAACAATAAAAGTTAGCAGAACACCTTATAAGGCAAACGAGACCATAGGAGTACTGCAGTCACAGAATGAAAAAAGTCACCAAATATACCACCAAAATAAAAATATAAAGGTCACCAATTGAACTGCTTTAAGCTTTGATCGGTTCTCCCAATATCAAGACACACATTAGCTTTTGTTAAGTTGTCAATATTTAAAAATAATTATTCACCATCGGAATATAATAAGTTAGAAAAAAATTAGGAGTTACAAACTTTCTCTTATATGTAAATATAACAAGTGAATAGATAATTTTAACTTGATTAATACTTACAGTGAAATAAGCGTGACCACGGACTGTACCGTTGTTTTTTCCCTTCGGTTCATCCAAGATCACGCCGATCCATTTCCCCGTGGCGAATGTTGGGTATCCAACATAAGCAACTGTGCCTTTCACGTCTTTAACGACGACCATCACCCGCTGCCCCAAAGTTAAATCCTTATCGGACATATTTAAGGTATTCTTCTCTTAAGAAAATATAACTGAAAAACAATTAATAAAAAGATACAATGTTTTTCAAATTTATTTTATGAGTCAAAAAGCCTTATTGTATACCTTATTTGGAATACACGGCTCTTAAATTAATACTGTGTATTTAGTATTTAAGAATTTACTCATATTTTTTTTTATATTTTTTTTGCTATTCAATTTAGATTTCAATAATCTTATTTATAAAACGTATTTATTGCAGATTTTCTGATGAATTTGTATCCTACTGCAGATTTTCGTTTGACACATAACAATCAACACATTAACGTCAAATTGACGGATGAGCAATCGTTACAGATACAATGTTCCAATACACGCAGCTCTGACTTTTGATAGAACTAATGACCATGTAGATACAAAGATTTAATTTTGAATTTTAAAAGATGATTTTACAGTATATGCGTCGTATGTGTTGTGTGTGTTGAGAAATCTATCCATAATCTAAAAGATGAAAACGTTATAAACATCAATACCGTTATAAAGAATCCTTCTTACTTTAAGAGAACCAAAAAAATTTACTGTTTTATAGGTAGATCGTCAAAACCCATTAAAATGAAATTAGACTAGATTACTTATTCATAAAACACTAAAATATTTTATTCTTTGAACATTATTCTTTACGCAGTAACATTTTTATATTTACTTTTAACTTATCTCTATCACTGAAGATTTGTTCTTAAACTATGTATTAGAATTTCTTAAAAAAAATTATCACCGTACAGTACAGTACGCCCACAGTACAGACTCTTCACAAGTCGAAAACCAAAATCCATCCAACACCCATATATATTTTTATTGCTTTGGGAGGCCAACGTCTGCGGAACAGCCACGTCAATGCCTATTCGCTGAGTACTCCGTTCAAACCTCTTTTGAAAAAGGATTCGACGGTATGTGTCTGAAATGATGTCCGAAAAGGCATTAAGAACGAGCGCAACAGGTTCAAAGTAATATCGATAGACTCTGATTCAATTGGGGGATGTGGTATGATAAAAAGGAGAACACCATTGCAACAATTCGCGATGACGTCATTAGTCTTCCACAATCTGAACAGACCTTTTCTGCATGAAGTCCAATAGAAGTCTGTGCTAATTATAGGCCACAACGAAAAGTCCAAGCTAAGTCGCTTTTGCACATCATAAAGCAAAATCTTAACTCAAACATGAAGTTCTATTTTCTTGAGGACTCCCAAAATTCTGTTAATGAAGTCATCGACGCCAAGTTTTTTTTTTTTTTTTTTTTTTTCTTTAGATGTGTGGACGAGCTCACAGCCCACCTGGTGTTAAGTGGTTACTGGAGCCCATAGACATCTACAACGTAAATGCGCCACACACCTTGAGATATAGTTCTAAGGTCTCAGTATAGTCACAACGGCTGCCCCACCCTTCAAACCGAAACGCATTACTGCTTCACGGCAGAAATAGGCGGGGCGGTGGTACCTACCCGTGCGGACTCACAAGAGGTCCTACCACCAGTAATTACGCAAATTATAATTTTGCGGGTTTGATTTTTATTGCACGATGTTATTCCTTCACCGTGGAAGTCAATCGTGAACATTTGCTGAGTACGTATTTCATAAGAAAAATTGGTACCCGCCAGCGGGATTCGAACACCGGTGCATCGCTCCACACGAATGCACCGGACGTCTTATCCTTTAGGCCACGACGACTTTTTTTAAAGTACGCCAATACCTTCGGAAGGGTCCTAGGATACTGCTTAGAATTGTCACTGTCATTGTAGTTGACAATACTATTGCAGTAATAGCTCACGTGAAGTTGTTGTTGTGGCTTAAAGACATCAGCAATGCCATAGGAAAATCGCTGCTTACCACTGAATTATTTTCCAACTTCGGTCGACGGAGGGTAGGGACAAGGTTCGGCAATCGCTCGGTATCGCTTATAGCACGCCCTATAAACAGTAAGTGTAACATAAGTCGTCGTGACCCAAAGGATAACGCGTCCGGTGCATTCGTATTGAGCGACGCACCGGTGTTCGAATCCCCCAGGCGGGTACCAATTTTTCTAATGAAATAAGTACTTAACAAATGTTCACGATTGACTTCCACGGTGAAGGAATAATCGTGTAACAAAAATCAAACCCGAAAAATTATAATTTGCGTATTTACTAGTGGTAGGACCTCTTGTGAGTCCGCACGGGTTGGTACCACCACCCCGCTTTTTCTGTCGTGAAGCAGTAATGCGTTTCGATTTGAAGGGTGGGACAGCCGTTAGAACTATACTGAGACTTTAGAACTTATATCTCCAGGTGGGTGGCGCATTTACGTTGTAGATGCTCCAGTAACCACTTAACACCAGGTGGGCTGTGAGCTCGTCCACCCATCTACGCAATAAAATAAAAATATACTATGAGCCCAATCCAAATAATACTCAAGTCAGTGACCATGAAAACTATATAGTATTGGAAATATATGAATTGTTCCATCCGGGCGTAGCTGGAATAACTCCTTAGGATACCAGGCCCACTGAGTTTCTCGCGAGTGGGTCGCGATTCCGATCCGGTAGTAGATTCTGCCAAGCACTACACTTGCTAGGGTTAGTGTTAGCAAATTCTTTCAGGTTGAACCCGTGAGCTCACCTACCCGTTAGGGCGTAACTGGAATAGCCCCTAGGCTACCAGTGAATAGGTAGGCGAAGCAAGGTAGGTACCTCCACCCTACTTATTTCTGCTGTGAAGCAGTAATGCGCTTCGGTTTGTTGAAGGGTGGGGCAGCCGTTGTAACTATACTTGAGACCTTAGAACTTATATCTCAAGGTGGGTGGCGCATTTACGTTGTAGATGTCTATGGGCTCCAGTAACCACTTTACACCAAGTGGGCTCTGAGCTCGTCCACCCATCTAAGCAATAAGAATTGATAGAATCAAAATAATAAACCCAAGACAAAATCGTATGAGTAGTTTTAATTGTATCTCAAACGCACGAAAACCAAGGAATATGTTATTATAGATCAATCACCATCTTAGACTATTTTTGCCACGAATCAGTCATGCGTCCCGATTTCCAGGGTGTTATATCCGTTTTACAACTTCGAACTCACTATTCAAGTGTGCTTATTGCGAGTGTTCTAACGTTCTCGACAGCGTAAATGTTAACTCCAATTTGTTTTTTTTTTTATGATTGAATGATTACTGGTGGCCCGGAGGCCTTTCCAGTTTCACCAGGACAGGTGGGCGAGCAAAGACTCAGCCAGGAGGGGTGGGATTTGCTAACAGCTACCCGAGCGCCTCCGAAGGAGACCTAACAGCTCAAGAGCAGCTGCTTCGCGAATGAATCTACTACCGGATCGGAATCGCGACCAGCTGAGAAGACCCGGCGAGAAACTCAGCGAGCTGATTCATGGGTTAGGTTGCACGGCGAACTCTTTGTCGAGTTCGACGTGTACGGTTACCGATCCAATTCGTAAGAAGTTGAAACGTTTGCCTGCATTTGCCGCTAGGGGCGCTCTTTCAACTCCATACAAATTTCAGTTAACTTTTACGCTATCGAGAACGTTAAAAACTCGATTCGAACTTCGAAACCGAAGAATAGTTGCAGCCTTCACGTTCTGAATTCTGTGAGCTCTAGTATACTTAACCAATAAAGGATAAAAAGCGCAATTAATATTTACTACGAACAGTGTAGCATTCTTTAGTAACCCAAGCAAGCCGGGGCTATAAGCCTACTAGACTATGAAATTATAAGAGTATTTAATTTTTTTTTTTATTGCCTTTGTATGCAGACAAGCATACGGCCCTGATGGTAAGTGGTCACCGTCGCTCATGGACGTCAGCAATGCCAGGGGCAGAGCCAAGCCGCTGCCTACAAAATTATGTATTTTATAGCATAAGTTATTAATTAACATACAATATAAACAAGAAAAGGTAGCCAGCGATATGTAGGTAGCGTAAGCAATAACGTATTTTTTAATTACACTTACGCGGAAGCAAACTAGGAAACATTAAGCAAACAGATAACAAAGTATTGTAGGTATCAATGTGTATCAGTCGGTAATAGATCGAAAACGAGTTACTTAAATGACATCATTGAACCGTGGAAAAATACTGGAAGTACCTTGGGATCTTGCAACTAATTTATATGAGTTTTGCTTAAGTTTAACTAAGCTAACCAAAACTAAATGAGCCCACTAAACTAACACAGCCGTTGAGTAGATTGAAAAGAAATAAAATGCAGTTTAGATACCAATCATGCAAAGAAAAAAAAAAGTTATCGTATGTATCCAATTAAACATTATTGTCAGAAATTGGGCGTCAGATACGTTCAAACTAATATATAATAATAGCATATTAATAGCCTATTACTTCTATGCGTTCAAAAATCTTTATTCAGTTCTGTCTCAGAAATTTGACTTTGAAACTGACCTACAGTAATCTCCTGCATCCATCCGCCTCCATCTTTGCTTATAAGAATTATACTGTGTACAGTACACATAATTTATGATAATTTCAGTAATCAAATTATTAGTATACTGTCGACGTAGATTCATCAATTTAATTAATGTATTTTTTTTACTGTGTAATATTTTCATCAAAGCATCGATTGTATTCTCGGCGACGCGTCGCCTTAACGATTGTAAATTAATTTATTTCATATTTGCATTATAGATAATGTCGTAACAAAACCATTTTAAACACTTTTGAAATATGTAAAAATATTTGACATTGGATGCCTCGTTTTCCATCCACTCGCTTATTTTCTAATTCCCGGCTCACAAAGTAAACTTCCTTAACATTTGTCTGAAGTGATCTTGTATTTAATAATTATCTCAACTCTAGACCTTATTTCAATGCTGATTGTAAAAGACATTCTGTGATGAAATCAACACATCACATAAAAAATATAAAGTAGCAGTGATTCAAGTTTCAAGAGAATCCAATGACCTCACTCATTGCCACACTGGCTAAATTAAGGTTATGAGTCATGTTTCCTCTATGTCCACAAACTATATTGTATAGGCGATAAAGGCGAAATTTGTTTGCATTGTCTGTGTAATTATTATTAATACAACAATTTGTCAGTTCGAGAATTTACTTACGAATTATCTAGTCTGTGGTATTTTTCTTGACACAAACATACAAAGTCCAAACAGATACAAATTATGATCATGTGTTGAACAAATGATTTTAAAATTATATCGTCATATCTGTTAATCAGGTAAACATTGAAACTAAATAACGAAGGCTCTTTGCTTATCTTTGTTTATTATAACAAGGAAACGTTAGAAAACTTCACAGCATCATATCACCGTGCCTTTGTTCCACGCAACACGTATTTTCGTGACTTAGCTCAAACTTACCTACTTTCACCCACATTCACTGCACACATTTGCAGAACCACCGTTATGTGCTGCTAGCAACCATAGCAGATTGCACACGCGACAATCAAAATAAAAGTGGAATGCATACAAAAACATGTTATTTATTAATTGAATTATTACAGCAATTTAAAAATACAATGTCGTATAAAAACAAAAACAAGCTATTAGGTATATTCACTATTTCGTTCGATTGATTATTTTGCAACTTATGAGACGAGACGGCGGCGATAATATATAAGATTTACAATATTTTATACAACAGAGGAAGTCGCAAGGCACAGGGCGCGGACAACCGTGTTCTCTTTTCTCTGTAGACGTCGGTGCTCTCTAAATACATATTTTTAATAGGATTTATAATTACAACGCGCAATCTCTCATAATACAATGTTGAGTGTGGACATGTTATGTTTTAGCAGGGCGGCTTAGAAACCGTGCACCTTGAGTTGCTCAGGCTTCACTAAGCCGGATTTGGTGAGCCACTGGCAAATATTCTCTCGCTGGTCGCCCTGAAGCTGCAGCACCTCGCCGTACTCCGGGTGCTCCACGACCGTACCGTTGCACGCGAACTCCTTCTTGCATGCCCGCACGATCTTCTTCAGGTCATATTCCGAGGAAAGGCCTTGCACCGTAGTCAGCGTCTTACGCCCGTTTCGTTGCTGGATACGGACGTGGACTAAACCATCTTGAACGTCGTCCTCCGAGCTTTTGATAGCATCGGCGAATGGGTCGAATGTGTTGAGATTCTGGATGGACATACGATTGAACGTAGGGTCTCTTTGTTTCAACGAAACGCTGCGATACTACGCACTCAACAATATAACTGTCACTGATAACGCGCTGTTATATGCTCGCTGACAAACAGCCAATTTATGTTAACTCCAAAACGTAATGGCGGATGAGACGAGAAAAATGGAAATGTCACGCGGAGGCGGAAACAATCGATCCGTACCATAGACAAAAATGACAATTCGCTTTCAAAGTAAAGATAGCTACACACAGTTAGAAACCATATCGATTTTAAATATGTTTTTAACATTTTAAGTTAGTATCTATCCCTTTAACTTCGCGTACAATTTTGGAACATAAGAATCGTACTGAGCAACGAAGAAATTTCCCGCAACTGGAATCCCAAGTTTATACTGCTGAGCAAATTGAGAGATAGAAAACTTTCCTCTCTTTTCACCGGAATTGTTTGGTAATTTTGGAACTTTCGAAAAATCACATTTTTCTGCTTGCTTGTAAAGTAAAAATATGTACCTATGAAGGCCGGTTCCTTTCGGTGGCCCCGATCCAATATATTCCGATAAAATTTCACTTTTACCAATATTTCCACCGGAGATATTCCCGACTAACCAGTGATGCCATTCTCGGAACTTTGGATTCTCCCGACTCGGCGCGTCCGGATCCACCATTGCAAGTGTATAATATTCATTTTCCTTACTAGCCCACTTGACAGTCGGAGCGTCTTTTACTTGAGTTGGAGTCAACTCTTTTCCCAAATCAACATTTATGCCGTTAGAATACTGAATATTCAACAACTCAGACGGGGGTGTTGTAATAATATCTGGCACTATGCAGTGCTTCTGGAACATTGTCTGTACGTTTGACATGATCGTTTAAGAACTCTGAACACGTGAGTCTGTTTGAGAAACTAATAGAAAATAATTGTTACGGAGCAAAGTTGAATTGTACTTTTCAACAAATTTTAGTTGCTAGGTTACCATCACAGATTACGACTATTTACATGTTTTTTTTTAATTGCACTGTTTTCATTCAGTGAGCTATGACAAGACGAAAGACGATTATTTTACAATTCAATTTTAAATAAGCAACGCTTAGCTTTTTAAAAAACAACCCCCGCTAATTAACATAAAAATTACAATTGTTATATTTTATTAATAAGAAATATGTTGCTTCTATAATGACAGGATATAACTAGCCCACTGAGTTTCTCGCCGGATCTTCTCAGTGGTTTGCGTTTTTGATCTGGTGGTAGACAGGTAGATTCAGCGAAGCCCTGCTCTTGCTAGGGTTAGTGTTAACAACGCCCAATCTCAGAGTCCCGAGAGCTCACCCACTCGCTCGGTTACACTGGTATAGCCTCTCAAGGCTACCAGCATATACAGGAAAAAAAAACAAATTATCTTAATTTGCCATGCCGAAGATAGACAAGTTGCCGATTGCATTTTAAAGTAATGTATTCAAGCTTTATCCAGTAGGGTTAAAAAAAATACAAGTATAAAAAATATATGTGATATTTAATTTCCTATCAATCAGTCGTTACATAGACTAATTAGAAAAACTGTAAGCATGTGTACATCCTGTAAGTAAGATGCTCTATAAGCTTTTGAAAACATTTTTCACACAAACAAACAGTTTCAAACAAACACAAACAGTTTTTTGAAAACTTCGAGGCCCACCAATTGCATTTACTATATCCTCACAAGGACAAAATAGGTAATTATTGTCAGAGTCCAAAAATAAGACGCCACTACCGAACTAAAAGTGTAAACGCTATAAACTAATGTCGTAACTTCGTTTTTCGTTTTTTCTGTGTGGCAATCGAATTACCATGACATGGGGTAAATTGGGATCCTGGGGTAAATTGGGACAAACCTGCGGAAGATTCTCAAAGTACCTGTAGCACGGAATCTACCTAATTTTGTTTATGTTAATATTTATCAATGTATAGAAGAAAAACCAAGTTAGCTATGGAAGTACTAAATATGAGTTAAGTTGGTCCCAAAAATTCGTCAAATTAAATTGAAAATAGTGGTTGAAAAGTGCTTTTTGAAACAGCTTAAAGAACTTTTAAAAAAAGTAATAATATCGTTGTTTTTTCAATAAGATCACAGTTTATATAAGTTTTTAATACACCTGGAAATACCACAACAAACGGTAAGTTGCAATATTCTTATTTTAAATACAATATTTCGACAAAATAAAAAATGTATATTTTTTCCTTTCTTTTTGGGGAAAATTGGGACGTATGTAGGGTAATTTGGAACGAGACTGGAAAAATTAGGGACGAGAAAACACAAAATTGGAACGCCAAAAGACAAAATAGGGATGGCTTGTTAGGGTTGTCACTGATATCTTATAATAGATTTTTTAGCCTATACTATCACTTAATTGCGTGATGTTAAGAAGGTTAATGTGTTTATCAGTTAGTTTATGTAAGTATTATAGGTAAAAGAAAAGTATATATATA